CCCTGCAAGTGTCTTGAGAGGTTTTAATTATAGGTGTTCTATAGCTGGGAGAACGATTATGGAGTCCAAGGAGAGCTTAGTTGGTGGTTCTGTTAAGGGGAGTCTTGCTCATGTATATAAACTGATAGGGAAAAATTAGGTGGGGGGCAGGGTGGGGGGAATGGCTATGTGGGAAGGAGAGGAGATAATAAAGTAAATTCCTGAGAAAGCAGGAATGGGGTAGGATCCAAAAGTAGGTGAGCTTTAGCGTGGATTAGATGAGTATGGTTCCACTGGCATTTTGTCCTCACTCCAAAAGTATGCAGAAGTGTGAAGCAGTGTCATCTTCTGAATGGGAGCAGGGCTTTATTGGTGAGTTCAGCTTACCATTCAACTTGGAAGTACAATGAACAGCTTTCTAATTATATCCCTGCCTCACTCCTCACTCTCCCTTTTTAAAATCAGCTTTATTGAGATACAGTTTACATACCATACAGTTCACCCATTTAATGTGTATATTTTAGTGGGTTTTAGTATTTATATATATATATATGTCTATATCATATGTGTGTGTGTGTGTATATATATATGTATATTACGGTAACCATAGTTAATTTTAGAATATTTCATCACTTAAAAAAAAACCCATGCCCTTTAGCTGTCACTCCCTTCTCCTCCGTTATCTGTTGTCAGAGAGAACGTGAGGTATGGTCTGAATTCAAATTTTTAAAAAAGCACATGATTTCAAAGAAGAGTATAAGCCAAAGAGTTGCTAAGAGCTTTAAAACCCCTTAAGGCTATACATGATGGCACATGCCTATAATCCTAGCATTGAGAAGGCTGGGACTGGAAGATTGCAAGTTTGAGGCTAGCCTGGGTTACATAGTGAGATTTATGTCTCAAAAAAAAAAAAAAAACCAACTTTTTAGTGTCAGAATCATTTGAAGAAGAAATACTAATGAAGTGGAAGTAAAAAGACAACACATGAAAGTAGATAATTTATATGCTAAATAATTTCTTCTTGGACCCCCCAAAATTATATTTTGGGTTACATAAAATGCATGAGCTGCTATCAGCAATCTCTAAGGCATTATAGAGAATAAAATAGTAATAATAAGTTGGAAAAGTTAAACTCTGCTTAACATGGATACTAAATAAGGAGTTACTGGAGGACAATTTAAGAAAGTCATAGAGTCAGCACAGTTTTAGTGAAAAGATTATACCAAATGAATTTCATTTTCTTATGTTCATGAAATATCGAAGAAATGGCATATTTTTATCTTATCAAGATATTTAACAAAAAGCTTCTTGAATTTGATTTGGAGATAGGGAGGGGCATATGTAAGTCATTGAGTAGCCATGTCCCCAAATTACTAGATCATTACTGAAAGGAGCATGATTCAGAGCTGTGAGGGTGGACTTCACTTGTGGATCTTTCCTATTGAGCATTTTGGTTACTGATTGACCTAGGCCCTGGAGGGCTTTAACAAGTAGTGGCTGTGAAAATCAGAGAGATTTAGTTCACTTTAAGCTGTGAGTCAATTATATTTTATAATTGTCAAAATTCTTTTTTTTTATTTTTTCTTTTTCTTTTTTGGCAGTATTAGGGTGGGGTTTGAACTGAGGCCTTCGCAGGTTCTCTGCCTCTTGAGCCACACTCCCAACCCTTTTTTGCTTTTAGTTATTTTTTCAGGTAGGGTCTGGCATTTTTGCCTGGGGCTGGCCTTGGACCACAATCCTCCTACCTATGGCCTCCCACCTAGTTGAGATAATGTGTGTGCCACCATGTCCAACTTACTGATTGAGATGAGGTTCACTCATCTCAATTTGGCTGGCTTCGAATCACAGTCCTTCCGATGTCAACCACTTGTGTAGCTGGGATAGCAGGCATGACCCATCATTGCCTAATTGCCAAAATTCTTAAAGGTACCTTGGTCTGCATAACATTTGCAATGGGGAAGGTAGTGGTCTGGTGTCTCCTATATCATCCTATTTGGGACAGGGTTGGAACATTAGCTCTACCTTTCTTGGATAACTTAAGCAGATGAGAGGAGGTTTTCTGGAGAAGACAATTTAGGAAAGATAGGCAAGCCACCTTCAAATAGGAGCTTTTGTGTGGGAGAGAAGTTAGAATGTTGCCTGTTCTGCAGGGCAGACCCAGGGCCAGTAGACAGTGTGGTGACGCAATGTTTGTCTCCTTATAAAATTGTCTGACCGCTATCTGATACTGATATCTGCCAATGCTGCATTACTGGACAATGGAAATATTCAAGGTGAAGCAATGTGATCATTTGGCAAGAAGGTTAGACGGTTGTAAAAGGGTCTAGGTGATTCGTTCAATATTGTAACAAGCTAATGTTCTGTGAATCTGTGCTAAGTCATCTCCCTGAGGTGTACTTCTTGTTGTAAATGCTTCATTTCAAATAGATTGTCACAGCCTTTATGTTTTTCTTAAGTCTTTAATATTCTGCTCAAGTTTCCTTTGTTGGCTTATTAGCTATAACTTTTTTTATGGGTTTTTTTTGGGGGGGAGTGGGGGTTGTTTCTTTTTTAGTTTGTATAAGACAGCATCTTATACAAGCCCAGGCTAGACTCAAACTCACTATATAGCCCAGTCTAGCCTCAAACTTTTGTGATCCTCCTATCTCAACTCCTAAACAGATTACAGGCGTGAGCCACCGGCACCCAGCGTCACCTTGATTTTTGAAAGATATTTTTACTGGGCATAAAATTCCACAATGACATGTTGGTTGTGTGTGTGTGTGTGTGTGTGTGTGTGTGTGTGTGTTTCTTTTTTCCCAATAGTTTTTAACAATACTCCTCCACTGTCTTTTCATATACATCATTTCTATCAAGAAGTCTGTTGTCCTCCTTTGATTCTTTGCCCATATTGTTTTACCCACTCTGGCTGCTTTTAAGATTTTCTCTTTATCACTGAATTTAAGCAGTGTGGTTATTCTTTATCTTAGTAGTCTTCTTACTGTTTCTTGTGCTTGGGATTTTTCAACCGTTTAGCAGTATTACAGTTTTTGTCAGATTCAGAATTTTTTCAGTCATTCCTTTCAAATATTTTGTCTGCCTTTTGCCCCACTGCAGTTACATATATGTTTGATTGCTTGCTTAAAGCCATCCTGAAGCTTACTGATGTGGCATCTTTGCCACCCCACCCTCATGTTTCATTTTGGATAGTTGTTACTACTCTTTATTTAGTAACTCTTTCTTCTGTAGTAGTCTAATCTGCTATCAGTCCCTTCCGGGGTACTTTTTATCTCACTCATTATAGTTGTTTTTTTGTTTTGTTTTGTTTTTTGTTTTTTGTTAACATATTGAATATAGTTGTAGTAATTGCTTTAATGACCTTGTTTATCTTGCCAGCTGGGTCATTTCCAAGGCTGTTTCTTTTGGTTGGTCTCTTCATTATTGGCATGTTTTCCAGTTTCAATCCTCAATGCGCTGGGTGAGATGAGCAGAGTTTAGTCTAGAGCTAATTTTGTATAACTACTGAGGCAAAACCATCTGCGTGATCTGCTTGATACCTTGGGACTATGAGGTTTTCCATTCAGGCTGATGGGAGCAAGAGCTCCTTCAGCCCTGTGTGAGCTCTAAGGCTCTGTTCTCTGGCCTTGGCAGCTTTGCTCACACACATATATTTACCAGTACTCTGCTGAAGTAATGGCAGATCACTCTTAAGATTGCACAGCAGATCTCTGATGTGTGCTTTCTGTGCAGTGTTCGCCTCTCTCTACTCTGCCCTTTGAACCCTAGTCTCCTTGGCTCCTTTTTCTCAGCTCTAGCTCTCAATTCATGGAGACCACCTGTTCTGCCTGGCTTCCCATCTCTGTACTGTGGCCTGGCAGTAAGCTAGAGCAATTGTGAGGTTCTCTTCATTTGTTTCCTGTCTCTCAGGGATCAACACTGCCTTAAGTCCATTAAGACATACGAAAAGTCATTGTTTCATATGTCTTAATCCTATTTGCTAGTGTTTTTCATGGAAAAAGGTAAATCTAATCCTGTTTCTCCACCTTGGCAGAAGTGAAAGCACTTTAGTGACTTTTTATTTACCACTAACACCTTAGCTTTGCACTTGAAGCCTTTTTCAGCTTCATTTTCTCTTCTGTCTCCAGCACCTAAGGGCTCCCTACACCTTTTCTCTGATAGTCTGAGTTAGTTAGCTTTACATCACTGTGACAAAAATACCTGAGATAAACAACTTAAGGAGGAGAAATTTTATTTTGGCTTACACTTTTAGAGGTTACAGTCCATAGTTGACTGACTCCATTGCTTTGAGGGCTGTGGCAAGGCAGAAACATCATGGCAAAAGGGCATGGTGGAGTAAAGTTGCTTGCCTCATGGCATCTACGAAACAAAAAGAGCAAGAGAGAAAAGTTCTGGGGACAAGATACACTCTTCAAGGCCATGCCCCTGCTGACCTCCTTCAACTAGGCCATACCTCTTAGTTTCCCAATAATGCCATCAGATTTTGAATCCATCATTGGATTAATCTGCTGATGAGGTTAATAGCCCTCATGATCCAGTCACTTCCCAAAAGCCCAACAGCTGGCATCCAAGCCTTCAGCACATGAGCTTTTTGAGGGAATACTTCATATATGAACCATAACCTATACTTCTCCCTCTCCCTCATCCCTGGCTCATGACACCACTCCTGTTCCCTGACATTCGCTTGTCAGAGTCTCTTACTCAGGGTCAGCTCAGGTCTCTTCCCTGATGTTTCCAACTCAAGACAGAACTGACCTTTTCTTTTTTTCTGTTCTATTTTCTACCGTATGTAAACCATGTTTTCAGTGTTCAAGTGGCTATGTTATACACATACTGGCCTTCCTATGGAGTGTGCATGTTGCTCCCATGAGTATACACACACAGTGTTCAGCTCCTTAGAGCTGAGATGGAGCTTGCACATAAGTCTAAGGGTAAATGATAAGAGAGAAAGCATTTAACAAACGTGTTACATGTTTATTAAAATGCTTTTTTTTTCTCTTCTTCAACCTCTCCTCTAAAATCAGGCTACAGAAGAAGTTTCCAAAAACCTGGTTGCCATGAAAGAAATTCTGTATGGCACAAATGAGAAAGAGCCACAGACAGAAGCAGTAGCTCAACTCGCTCAAGAACTATATAATAGTGGACTCCTTAGTACCCTGGTAGCTGATTTGCAGCTCATTGACTTTGAGGTAAGAAATCAGTTCCTTAATTTTGAAAAACAGCACCTTACTTATAGTCTTTTTCCATATGTTCTTTCCTTGGGAACATCTTAAGACCCCTGTTTGCTCAGTGGTTCCTGACCTCTGTAAGCACTTAGCTGCTGCCTCATTAGCAGAGCCAGGGCAGGAACCCGTGGATGTCTCAGGCCTAAGCCAGATTCTTCCCTCTGTTTTACCACATTGTATGTGGAGTTCTTTAGGTATTCATTATGCCTTTTCATTTAGGTTGTATTTCATAGACAGCTACTGTTAGGATAGGACCACTATAGTGGATTGCATAATTCACTATTCCTGTCCTTAACTGTTGAGGAATAAACAATCTAAGGAAGATCACAGAATGTTAGAATTTTAGAGATAGAGAAAACCTTAGAGAATATCTGTTACAGCAGAAATCATGTGTTTTATTTGCTTGACACTGCTTTTAAATTTTTAAATTAGCGTGATGTTTAAGTGGCAGATTGTAGTCACAACTCTGAATTTCTGACTTGTCTTAGAAAATTTGAATCTGGTAATAGAGGGGCTATAGTCCTGCTTGGCTCCTTAGCTAAGCAGAGCAGCGTCCCAAACTTTTACACTTGGGTTTGCTGTAGGCAGCACAGCTTATTTTTCTATCTCAGGGTCTGCTTTACCCATTTGCATCTCCTGCCCATCCTTGGGTAGGCATTTGAGCTTGTCACCCAAGCTTATGCAGCTGGGTCATGCCATATTACATATTTTGTGAATTTAACAGTGAGAATAATGGTCCTTGATACCAGTATAAATAAACTAATCTGAAAAGCATATATGGTAATGAAGGCCTCTGGCCTGGTCACAGGCAGTTTCCTCTTAGACTCTGTCACAAGTGTGCTTTAAGTCCCTTAGTTTAACTGGATAAAATTTTGGAAAAGGGTGAGAGAGTATGGTTCATAGGTTGCTTGATAGTATTGATAATAAAGGAAAATAAAAATGTATTTTGTCCTGTAGTGCATATAGAACTAAGATATTTCCGTTTATATAGCTGATCTCATATATTTTTAATAGTGTATCAAACTCCAGCAACAGTTTTTATTTTCTCTGCTAAAAGTGGACATGCACTGGGATATCCCTCTCCTTTGTCTCCTCCACCCACGTTGCTCCCCAACCTGGACACTAAATTTAATGTTCATTGGGACTTTAGAGACATCAGGGTTGTTTGTTTGTTTGTTTGTTTTTTGAAAAAAGTTTGTACTCTTGGGACTGATTCATAAAGAGTATCATTACTGCACTTGAGTTAGCACAGGCCCCAAGACAATCTCTCTGTACACTTTAGGTCAAGTGCTAGAAAGCTAGAGTTTCACATGCTCTTCCTGTGGGCTTGTCAGCCTTGTAAGAATTATTTGTTCTGAAACATCTCTTGGGGTCTAGTTCTCCGTTTGTTAATTTCTTTTGCAGCTTTCTGATTGCACGGTACTCTAAATGGTAGAAATGTTCATTGTTCTGTGCAGTGGTGTTATAAAGTTCTGATCTCTAAACTGCTGCATCTTGTGTTACTTTAGCACCTTCATTATTAATCTATTTTAAATCTTTCCTAATGACTTACTTAAATAGGGGGATTTGTCTACATACCGCTAAAGCTCAGCTTCTTGCATAATTCTCTCATTTTATTATACTGACGGAGTACCATTTCCCCTCCTCCCATCACTTGAACAGAAAAGCTTATGTATCATTCATAGCACAAGTTGCTTGTTCCACCTGGCTGTAGATTGTAAGCATATAGCAACGCTTTATTTTCCATGTCTGAGTCAGCATGGTTCTGAGTTAGAAATGGTTGAAATTACTTGTGAAATGTAGTGAGATTTCACACAACATATTGTGCTGAAAATAATACACTATTAAAACTTAGAATTTGGAATTATAAATAAATAAAATAAAATTTAATGTCTGTGAGTGTTGTAAATTGAAATAGATACTCAGTCATAGCCATAAATATAGTTTTCTTTGACTTTATTTTGGAGCATGGATGGACATTTTGATGTTTACTAGGTAAATATTTTAATGATTGTAATCCCAATAGGGCAAAAAAGACGTGGCTCAAATTTTCAACAATATTCTCAGAAGACAAATTGGTACAAGAACTCCTACTGTTGAATACATCTGCACCCAACAGAATATTTTGTTCATGTTGTTGAAAGGGTATGTATAATGTAATAAAATTTATATTCTTAGTTGAAAATAAAAGGAAAAATTGCTTTGGGTAAAAACAGAATGGTGAATGTGGGAGGCATTTTCTCTGTAATTTAGCCAGCTCATTTTTCCATGGATCTTGAACACATTTCCCTCCTTAAAATTCAACCTGTGAACTAAATTAATGTAAAAATGCCCTTTAGATGGAAGTTTAAAATGAGGTTAACTGTGAGCCTTTAAATTCATAAATCAAACATGATTGAAGGAAAGAAATCAGTCCTTCGTGGTCTTGTTTCTTTTCTCTAAGATTTAAATGGTTGAATTTTATTGGAATATCAGCAGAGTAATCTATTTAAAGACCTTTGTACCTAATCTGCACACTGTGAGACAGTAAGAACTACCCCATACACTGTTCTTGGATGCTGCACAGCTTCCCTTTGTTGTCTCCTGAGGAAGTGTTATGTGTTGTATGTGAGTTTCTCCTCTGTATACTAACTCACTAACCCACTTAATTTGGTAATTCATCTTCCTGGAATCACTGCTGGACTAAGGCATTTATGATTGAGTAGTCTGTCCATTTACAAAACAAAACCAAAAAGCCTAAAAGTGAAAACTTAACAGAAATGAAAAACAAATTCTGTTCTCCCTCAACTGACCCTGTTGTTCTCCCTGACTGGCCTCTTGTTCTACATCAGAGTTGCCTCTGTCTGTCTGGCACTGTCTGTGTTCTGGTACACTGGTGGACAAGCATGTTACTGGCATGACTGGTGGCATGAATCAGCTTGCTCCCTTACTCCTAGCTTTGCAGCCTCATTCTGACTCATCTCTGTGGTGTAACACTTCCTCCACGTTCACATTTGTGTAGACAAAGCCTGAGTCCCTGAGTCCCTGAGTCCCTGAGTCCCTGAGTCAGTGCCTGTGTTGCCAGCACTGTTTCCTCCTCTCTGTTGCTAACCGTCCATGTTGCTTCTTCAGATATTGTCATACAGAACATTTGTCATCTCATTTTTTTGTTGTGTCAATCCCATATTGCTGCATAAACATGCAGTGAGTAGCCTGAAATTTTGATGTTCCTACAGTAACTTCCGGTTGCCGTTGTGTTTTTTAAAGCCATTATTGCCTTTTCCATAGAAACCATTAAAATCCATAAATTAAGTAGCTCTTCCTATGATTTCACTTTACAGTAACTAGAGCTTGTGTGTAACCATTGTTAGACGTTGTGTAAAGTAAGACTTTTGAGATCCAGTTTGAAGTTTAATACTCTCATCTGCTGACCAGAGCAAAAGCCTTAGCCAGGAGGAGAGAAGAATGGAGAACTGAGCCAGGCTTGGGACCCACCCTTACATCTACCCCTCACCGTGTATTGTGAGAACTATGCTTACAGCACAGCAAATCTTCCCTACCCCACACCCACCTTTGCAGTCATTAACCTCCTGCCATCCTTGCTTACTCTAGTTGTTACCTCCTTCCTTTCCTCCTGACAAAGGACTTGACTTCAGTGTACATCCCTAATGCATAGTGAGTAAGACAGTGCATCGCAGAACAGTGGAACCTAATGCTACCCAATGCCCAGTCAATTTTCACATTTTCTAGGTTTTCACAAAAGTGACCTTTTAGAGTAGTTTGTTTAAATCAGGTTCTAAACAAGGCCCACGAACAATTTGATTGATAAGACTCTTGGCTCTCTGCTAATTTATAATAGTTAATGCCTTTTTTTTTTTTTTTAACTTAGACTAATTTGTTTTAGTCTAAAAATCACATTTTACCCAGGAGTAGTGGTATATGCCTGGAATCACAGCAGTTAGGAGGCAGGAGCTGGAGGAGCAAGTGTTCAAATTCCAGGAGAGCCTGGTCTGCATAGTAAGCCTTGTCTCAGAACAATTAAGGGCTGGGGGTAGAACGCCTGCTTAGCATGCACAAGGTCCTGTGTTCAAATCCCCAGCACAACAAAAACAAAATGTAGTTTGTGTTTGCACTCCTGGTTTTACCCAGCATGTTCAACTCTCCCCTGCTCCTTTGAGATGGTGGTTACATCTGGGAGTTTGTTAGATTCACATTCAGTTTGAGGGGGCATGAATTCTTCATGGGTTGGACCATGTACTTCCTGTTGGGTGGCACTGATTATCTTGCTTTAGGTGAAGTTTAGATTGGACATTGGATGAAGTTTAGTTAGTTTGTGATCTGCCCATATGAAGTTTTCCACCAACATTTCTTTCACTTGGTTTTAGTGTCTACTAAGGGTCTTGCCTAGATTCAAAATGGCAATTAACTGATTCTACTATTACTTCTCCATGTAATCAATTGTGTTTTTTTCTATAAAGAAGAACTTCTCTTTGAAGACTTCTTTATCCCAAAAGCCAATGTCGTTATTTTAGTATAGTTAGTTGGCACCCTGGCCACTTCCTTTGATTATGTTGCTTAAGCACTGTTACTAATTAATCAAATTAACTTAAGAAAAGAAACAAACTATACTGGATGTGTTTCAATCCATTGCAGGAATTACTTTTTTATGTCTAAGTTATCCAATTATAGGCCATTGAGAGGAGGAATTCTTTCAGGTTGGGTCCTGTGTCCTTTTGACAAGAACCTACAAGTCTGTGATAGTTTCCTTGCTGTTTGGCACCTTGCTCATTTTGTATGGTTTCTGCCAGACCTGGAAAAGCCATTTCTTTGAAGAGTCCTGTGGACTACCTGTTAAGATATCTGTACTTTAATTGATTGGTTAGTTTAGACTACTGATATATAGCATGATTGTCTTCTTAGGCTATAAGTACTTTGATGTTAAATATTTTGGTGGGCCATGCTGCTAATACTAAAGTTCATTTGAGATCTTACTGCTGACATTGAACTGAATTTGGAGAGAAGATTTTTTTTTTTAACTGACAATTTAAATGTTAATGTGCTCTCCATTGCAATGCTAAGAAGTTATCAGCATAACTGTTTGCCTTCTACTCATTGGTTTATGGCTTAATCATTTGAACAAGCTTGACAAACTCTCATCAAAACTTGCCCAGCTTGTTGTACTAAACTATCTTACCCTTGATCGTCTAGTCTCCCGCTTATTAAAGATAAACAAAGATGAATGGTATGATCAGCCATTTTGTGAGTAGATGTTTTAATCAGATTAAGAGCCAATCAGTATCTAACTACCAAAAGAACATAGTTTGCCCTTGTTGAGGATCTGTGATGAACATATGTACAGCCAAAGGATAAGGATAAGCAAATCGGTGCTACCGGACTTCAGAGTCCTGTGAGTTTGGTTAATTAGGTAAGGGTTAGTAAAAGGAATTGGAGTTACAAATGGTTTAGAATTTGCATAGGCAGAAAAAAGAAAGCGTCCTTTGACCTATTGCTGGAAACAAGGTCCAGGAGCAAGAATGAATATCGCATGATTGGCAGCAATAAGCAGTAAAATCTGAATATTTTATAGCATGGTAGAAGATAACGCTGTACCCGAGTAGTGAATCCAGTGAGGGGAAAACTGGACATTAATCCAAGAAGTTGTGTTTGATTGGCAAGAAATAATTTTAAGCTCCTAAGCTGGAAATGCCTTTGGTAAGCTTGTGTATTGGATAGATTGGTTAAGGCAGAGCTTGGACAAAGATGCTGGGTAGGAAGCATTTGCAGTTCTTGCTCATGGTATGAGGTGATGCAGCAACAGGGATGGATAAAAGGATATGAAACTAAGATACATCAAACAAGGGTGAAAAGGGCCTGCTGACACTGAAGACAGGAAGACTTGGAGCAAAGACAGGAAGGTTTAGAACTGTGCTTTCCCATGTAGTGACTACTATTATATAATGGCTTAATTTTAAATAACATTTAGACTTCAGTCCCTCAGTCACACTAATCAGATTTTAAGTGCTTAGTGGCCATGTGTGACTAGTAACTGCCATAGTGGACAGCACAGCTACTGCAGAAAGTTCTATTAGACCTGGTTTAGACCTAGATATCCAAAACAAAATGCTGCTAAATTATAGTAGTGAAGAAGCTGCTGAGAGAGGGATTTACCTTGTGAGAGAAGATAAAATTTCATGCTACACATGTTGAATTTATGTAGTCTTTAACTGAGGTCCAGAGACAGCAGAAAATGCCTAACTGCAATTTAGGTATGACTTGAGGGAGGGAAATTTAGTAGTCCTGGTAGAAGCCATGAGACTATATGGGCTTTCCTTAGTGGATAGAAAAAAAAGACCCCAACCAGCCAAGAAATAGGAACCATACAAGGGATAGTAAGGAGAACTGGGAAACTTTTTTTCTTTCCTTTTTTTTAAAGAGAGATACAGGCCTGGAAGTATTGCTCAGTGGTAGAATGCTTGCCTAGCATTTGTAAGGCCCTGAGTTCAATTCCCAGCACTGATTCCCCAGCACTGGGGGTAAAGGAGCAAAGATCTGCATTGTTAGAACATTAAGTAGAAGAATCTTTGCTATGAGAAAGGATTGCTTGTTTTAGCTAATAGGAGCTCTTTGCTGCACTAGAGTGTTGGGAAATGGAATTTGCTGCGATAAATTATGGGAATGTATAAGGGGAAGAAGTTAAGCCACCAGCGGCAGCATGAAAGGAAGAAGAAGAAAAGAGAGCAGGTGACCAAGTCCAGTGAGAGAGGTTGGTGCACATGGGAAGACAATGGGGCCTGCCCTGCTCAGCTGAGAGGTTATTTTTGTAATCACAGGGAAGAAGAGGTGAGAGACAGAGTTGAGAATAGAGGAGGCTGTGTGTGGAGAGCAGGTCAGGAGGCACTGCGTCCACCCTTGATGGAGGTACTTTGAAATCCTCAGGACTAGGCTTTCAACTTCATGGTATTTACATGTTGCCAAAAGTCTTAAAAAACTGTTTTGAGTGCTGTACACTTGATAAATATCTGAGTTTGAAAAATTTTACCATAGGCAAAAGCAAAACCCAAATGGAATGGTGTTACCCTAAATCCTTCCTTTCAGATCCTAAACTTCTATTCACTCAGTCACTGCCATGACCATTTTTCCTTGGTTGGAGGCAGCTACCCACACCTATTGTGTGTGGGCTCTAGAGTAAGCTCCCGAGCCCAGGCTGTGCTCAGAGAAAGGCCTTTTGTAACCCTGCTATGTTTGATTAGCTAGGACTCATGTCTGAAACTTCCTGTTCAAAAAGTTTTGAGCCAGCAATCATGTTTGGCTTTTTGTTTGTTTTTTATTTTGTTTTGTTTTCACAGGTATGAATCTCCAGAAATAGCTTTAAATTGTGGAATAATGTTAAGAGAATGCATCAGACACGAACCACTTGCAAAAATCATTTTGTGGTCAGAACAGTTTTATGATTTCTTCAGATATGTCGAAATGTCAACATTTGACATAGCTTCAGATGCATTTGCTACATTCAAGGTAACAAAAATGAATTCTAAATATACTTGCAAGTCAGACCAACAAGCGTGCTGTTTGCCTGATCTTCTCTGCCCTCCTAGTCTACACGTGACTGCCCTCTAGTGGGAAGAAAGAAGATGTATTTTATATGTTGGTGTGATTTAAGATTTTCATAAAGTGACAGCTTTGAAAATGTGGAAAAGTAAGATTCTAAAGTCTGTTTCTTTGTTTAAGCACCAGGTGAGGTAGTTGGCTTGTGTTCAGGAGCAAGCTGGCTCGGAATGCACATGTCATTAAATACTAGAACCTCATCCAGGTTAGAGAGCCCAAGGGAGCCATGAATTCACCTATACAGTGTTCTGCTCACACCAGAACACATGTGTAAAATGCAGAGACGGGATAGAATCATCTGCACTGCCCCCTTACTGTTTCTTCCCTACCTCATCTACTTTGTTGAGGATTTGTATAAACTAAATACACACATTATATGACACCCCTCAACATGCAAACGTTTAAGTTGCAAGATTCTATGCTATTGATGGCATATAAATAAAGCAGTAATAATTTAGGGATTTTCCCAGGGAGAGCAAACCTTTATATATCACATTCCATTGCCTAAAGAGTCTGGCCTCATAAGTAAATATTTAGAATTCTTTAAGTATAATCAGTATTTAGTATACTTACATGTAGACTACCTTGCCCAGAAACCATGAACACTATTACAATGTGAAATGACCGCTTTTCTTGTGAGAGTTCAGTTTTATGACTATAGAGCCCATGAGATAATGAGTTCGGGCTCTGTAAAGTATATACCGGAGATTGAATGAATGCCCTGAGGATAGGATGAGCGCTTGGGGACTAGTCATTAGGGTTTCACCATGAATGAGAATAAGGTCATAGTATGAGTGTATCCAGGGATTTATTTCCCAAAATTGTTAGAGGTGTCAGAAGCCTTAGGTAAGACCTCAGATACTTGTATGTTAATGTCATTGTACAAAGCATAACAAAGTGAATTTGAGATTATAACATAGAGTGGTCACTATGATGTCTTAGGTGTCACCGCAGTGGTGGGATAGGACTCATGATTAGAATGCATCGATGGAAGGGAGTGCCCCATTCAGGAGCAGCAGCCCGGCATGAAGGGAGGTGTAGTAGCACCTTGTGTCAAGGAGAAAGTCCCCTGTGTGGAAGGACAGCCAGGATCCCGAGAGTGGCAGCACTCTGGGCGCATGGGGTGAGGGAAGAGGATTGAGGAGCAGCAGTGGTGTGGGAGAATGCAGCCAGACCCCTGACCACGTGGAGGACATGGATGACATGCTCCTGGCACAGAAGGCCAAATTGGCTCAGAGGTGAGAGAGATGTGCTGGCTACATGCCGGAAATGTGATTATCTGACAGTCTTGACTGGCCTTGCTGATAATTTCATCTCACTTTGGATTGCTTCTTTCAGTTAATTCTCACCAAAGAGAAAATGGTTGTGATGGAGTCAATGTGGGTAATGCAGTCCTGTCAGGTCTTAGTACATAGGAAAGGAAGGACTGAGCAGAGCAGAGAGCCAGGCAGGTAGTCTCCACTTAAAGAAAGGAAACTTTAAAATAAAAAATAAATTAGGATTCTAAGAGTAAGCTCTAGAAGAGAGCTCTGGGAAGCTGGCCTGGTTTCTGTATCTCGGGTATTCCCAATTACTCAGATAGGGGAGAGCTTAGGAGAAGCTCCTAAACAGAAGACTCTCCAAGAAACAAAATAAAGCGAGGCCATAGCTAAAATGATGTGAGAGAAAGGCATAGATTTACCATCTAATCTCAAGGTGGCTAAATACAAAACAAACTGGTCATGGTGGCTCACTCCTGTAGTCCTGCCTACTCAGGAGGATCATGGTTTGAAGCCAGCCCAGGCAAGTAGTTCCCCAAGACCCTATCTTGAAAAAACCCTTCACAGAAAAGGGCTGGTGGAGTTGAAGCCCCAGTACTGCAAAAAAAAAAAAAAAAAAAAAACCTGAGCTACTTCTCCCTGAAAGAAGCTCCACACCAAGCAGGAAGAAGGATCAGAAGGAACAGTAGCAGCTTGGGAGCAAAGGTGTGACAAGGAAGGAGGAAGAACTGCTCCTTTCCTGCTTCACTGGTTTTCTGCCTTCACTGGTGCAGAAGGTGGTTTTCTAAGGGAAAAGGAGACTAGATCTTTCTTCCATGTTATCTTTGAGAATTCAAGGGCTCCCTCCCCAGAAAATGCACTCTATACACAAAATTTTCAAACAAGTGCAGCTCATGAAACAGGTGCTGAGTCTTAAAAGGAAATTAAAACTATCTTTTCTAAAGGTATCCAAGATTCATAGCTTGAATGAATGGATTCTGAAATAGTAAACAGATGGCCAAATATTTGTTAGTGATTTTGCTTTTGTTTTGAAGAATTAAGGAGATGGGAGGGACATTAGAAGGCCAGCAAATATATTCCAAATTTTCCAGAATAAAAGAAGGTAGACTCCCCAAAAAACTGGTGGAGTTTGGAGTGTGATGTTATAGCTATGAATGGTTCTGGAAAGTATTTCTACAGAGATAATCTCTGAGTGTTTCAAAAAGCAGCTTATGTGCCCACAGTCAGCATGAATTCACCAGACATAAGTTTGGTCACACTAACCCCATAGGTGCCGTTAGGTCAGGGGTCTGAGGATGTGGCTGCCTGCCGTAGACAACCTCTGCTGCAGATTAAATCTGCGCCTGTCCACCTCTTAAAGTGTAAAGGCAAAACAAGTATGCGGGGGATTTGCATTTCTCACACTCTGCAGTAAGCAAGTTGCTACTAGATGATTCCCTTATGACAGCCGAGGATATGCTAGGTAGAGAGTAGTTCTACAGATCTGTTTTCGTGGAGACAGTAAACAGATGAGCTTGATAGAGATTCACACAGTGGTTCACAGCTGGTTGGATGCCATTGCTGCACATTGTTGGCAAATGGGCTGCTATGACCCTGGACAGAATTTTCTAGCAGATCTCTACTTGGGTTTTTCCAGCCCAGCTGAACATTTTTATTAATGACCTAAGGGAACCAGGCACATTTATCAAATGTGTAGGTGCTAGACATGAAGGGAAAGATAATAATAACAGTGGATCCCAAGATTAATTAATTAATCTTAATTAATGTGGGATGAGGGAATAAGGCATAATAATAGTAATAATAAAATAATTACTAAGTATAATAGTTACCAGAATATCATTAATTTAATATAGTCACTCCTATGAGGGAAGTATTACTGTCATCTCCTTTGTAGGTGAGGAAACTGAACCTAGAGATGTTAAGTGGAGTCAGACAGCAGTTGGGAAAGGCAGACTTTGAATCCAGCAGACTGACTATAGAGCTCACTCTGAATAAACTAAATTTTTAATATCCTCAGTGAAATTAAGCAGTCTGATGCTGCTGCTCCCAAAGCTCCATGTGTAACCTAAGGAGCAAATCAGTGGGCTCAGTCCACAAAAAGCTTGCCAGGTAACCACACATAAATGTGTCCCATTCCAGGTGCTACACATTGATAGACCAGTATCTAAAGAAGTACATGACATCTAGAAGACAGTAGGTGGTGAGGGGATTCAGAAGCCTGTCATTCAGGACATATTTAGCCTGGAGAAGAAAGGACTTGGTCAGGACTTGCCATTTACATGGCAAATACATTACTTGTATTTTCAGTGAGACTTCTAGGAAATAGATTAAACCCATGCTGTCAGCTTGGCAGTTGTGAAAAATAACTTGTGAGTAGGTTTGGACTCTAGCACAGAAAGAACGTTCTAACTATAAGAGCTCCAGAGGTGAACTGCTATGGTGGAAGAAGTGAATTCTTTGTCCTTGGACATAATTAAGCATCAAGGAGGAAATGGAACCAAATGATTTATTTCCTGTGATGACAAGCCATCTTCCCAACATAACACTGTTTCTTCAGGATGGTCTTTGTCACCTGGTATTTGGGGCCCAAACTCAAAACTTTTAGGAAGCTTTGAAATTCAGTCCCTTCTGAAAGTTGGCTGCTCTGTCTGCTGGACTTGGAACATGATCCCTGGCTTTTCTCCAAGCTATACCAGGGCCTCATATATACTCATACTGCAATTCAGATAAGTGGGTGGTCAGAAATCATTTTTTTCTCCTCTGCTGTAAATTTTGCAAATTGCTAACCAGATACTACCTGCCCTTTGCCCATCACCCTTCATTTGCTATTCTGTTAGCTTCTACCCCTCCCTGCCCCCGGTGGTATGTTCTCTCCAAAGCTTTTATCAGCAGTCACCAAGTTAAGGTTCCTTCTTGTCTCTCAGTAGATGGGGGTACTGTCCCAGGCCTTTTCTTCTTCTTTTTCAGCTTAGTTAGTATTAGCCTTTTCCTCCAGTGCTGGCTCTCAGCTGTTCCTCCTTTCCTGTAGAAGTTCTCCCCCACCCTAGGCCCTGGCTGTCTTTCTTAACAAAGAGGGTTCATCCTGCTCTGAATTGAGGCCCAGCTCCCTACCTCAGCAGCATCAGAGCACCTGTTTTGCAATCCCTTCTATCCCAAGGCCATTGAGATTTGTTTCCCAGATTGGCCACCGTCTCCTGGTTTGCAGATGATAAAAACAAATGGGGAAATGTTGAGGGTCTCCCTTTTTGTGCATGAGTCAATTGTGAGCCTCTTGCTCTTGCCTGAGATATAGCATTCAGGGAATAGTTCCTTTACTCAGCTCTTCGGTACCAATCTGTTGCCCAATGTGGTTACACCTCAAGGACCTTTGCTTAATAGAGTAGATACTTTCCACCTACCCACTCGTAAGACTTCAGCCGCAGTTGAGAGCTGGCATCTGTCAAGTTCCCTCTTCCTAGCCGTTCGCTTTTGTCATTGTGACAGAACATGAGCAGTGGTTTCCTTTGGCTGTGCTTCTTCAGACTTGCTTCCAAATGATTCAGCCACAAAAAAGTGACACTTGTATCAATCCTGACACATCACTGTCTTAATTCACTTATTCGTTTGTTCATTCACCAAGTTTCTGTATGCCTGTAGTGTTCCAGGCAGTGTTCTATGGTTCTGGGGATTTGGCAATGACCAATATATATATATATATACAAACCCTGCCCTTGCAGCACCTTCACAGGAAGACACTAGCCATAAACCAAGCACAGTAATAGGCTAAAGGGTGGTGAGTGCTCTCTCATAGGCATACAGTAGCTGCCTTCTCTGTTGATACACTTTGCGCTTGACTCCACTTACCAATGTGCTATGATAATAGACATTCTGCCACCTTCATCTTTCGCCCCATGAGGAAAAGCCTTGTAGCACTCTGTCAAGCAGAGGTCCCCCACTATAACCACATTGGGCATCAGAGTTCTGCTGAAGCTTTGAGTAAAGGTACTATTGCCTATAAGAATACTCAAAATAAACTCAGGTTTATTCTGCCTGTTTAATCCCTCAAGGGGAATTTGGGGGAAAATAGGGTTTTCCTGGCCATCCCTATTTATATGAGAGAATATGGATATACCCTATCCAGCATTTTGAACGACTATAAATCTTTGGGGTGGGATCAGAAGCCTTCTTAAAAGCATACCTTGAAGATTTCTTAATAGGATTTTTTTCCAAACATGTTGCCTGATTTTCCTGGTTCATTTGTTGATTTATTAAATATTAGCCTCTCACAATGTGCTGGGCAGTGCAGGTGCTAGGTACTCAAAGATTAGTTAAAAAAAAAAAAAAAAACCTTGTGTTTATGGAACTGATAGTAATACAGGAGACACTTTATTCCCACAAGCAGGTCACCAGTCAGGGTTTTGTCAGTAAGTGGTGCCACATTGAGGTCTAAAGCTAAGGAGTAGGTAACTGAGGGCAGAGGGAAAGCCTGTATCCTTTGAGGAAGAATGTTAACAGGAGGTAGGTGACAGATCAACTCTCAGAGAGCTGACATAGCTCCACAAGGAAACTGGAGCTGTAGTGCTGCCCACATGTTTCACCATGGAGCATTTCTTAGAGTGTTTTTCACAGCCACTATCACCTTTCAACCGACTTCAGGCACCACTAACTAGCTTATTGTGACCTATGCAACCTTTAGGCATACAACAAGTTAATGAAAGTTGATTCAGAGGAAGGAATTGCTAGCACTAACCTAACCTCTCTAGTAAGTGGTGCTAAAGGAACTTCACTCATTAATTCACCAGATAGTGACTGAGCATTCCTACAGTCACATGTTCCCCTCTTTCCCACCTGGGAAGACCAAAGCTAGTCTATGGCTAACTTGTAGGGCCCTAAAACAGAGATCTTACCCTTTTGTCTCTGAGGCCCCAGCACCGAGAGTTTTTCCTGATACATAACAATGAATAAATGAGCCATGAGTTGTTTCCTGGGATGAGGCATAAACTATTTCATAATCAGAATTGGACACATTTTTATAATATTCTGTTTACTTGCTTGGAAAAACAAAGATATATAGTATGATGAGCTGTTAAAAAAAACATTCCATCGTTGAAAAAAGACCACATTAGATTTAAAAGTGAACATAATTGAATTTAGGAAGAGGAGAATAGAACCCCCACTATTTTAATAAAAGAAGTTTCATCTTTCTCCACTAGGAGCACTGAACAGGCCCAGCATTCTGTTTGACATTTCAGGACAACTGTTATTTCTAGTTCACTTCCTACTCCCTTTGCTTTAGTTTATGTTTCTATTGACTTTTACATTTGTTTTTTAATGTCTTATTCTAAGAATTACAGATCCATGTCTTATCATAATCATTAAAACTGTGATTTCAAATTACTGATTTTATATGCTTTCAGAAAAAATTAACATTTTCAGTACAATTTATGCTCATATCTTAAATAGTGTTTAGCAATGGTTTAACAGTGGTTTTTATCAGGTAAAATGGCATGGAATGTTTTAGAATTCTCTTCTCTAAAAGACCTTTATTGAAGAACACCTGTTAAAAAAATAAAATTTTTGTTTTTCTAGGATTTACTTACAAGACATAAATTACTCAGTGCCGAATTTTTGGAACAACATTATGATCGAGTAAGTATGTGAAATGTTATTTTAAATAACAAATTGTAACATTTGATATCAGAAATGAAAGATCTAACTTAGATTTTGTATCAGAATATTGACTTTGACTATATAATATTTGCAAATGGTGTGCTAATCCTATCTCTAGGGAAACAATGTAGAGAGTGCTATAGGGAGGGCTACTTGGTCAAAAGCAGAATTTGATCTTTTTTGATTGACACACTGCCCTTTGCGTCTTTTCTTACTTTAGAAGAGGAAAGTAGACATTTTGCTGCTGAGTGATAATACAGTTAAGATGAAAGGAGAATTGTTGTCTGACGTTTCACCTTTTCCTTCCTTTTCCATCAGTGCTGCATACACATAGAAAGGGAGGCAGCAGCTTTTAGGATTCGAGCAGCCCGGCTCTGCTTCTGCTTCACTGTAACTCCTTTGTGGCCAAGGCACTTACCACTTGGGGACTTAGAAGTCCTCTCTTATTGTAAAATGAGGACATTGGACTAGCCCATCGGTAAGGTCCCTTCCAGCTCCAAGTCAGTGTCAGACATCCCTGGTAATGGTGAGACCCCCGGGGATTTGTAAATGATTCTGAGTGCTTTGATGACTTGGTTCCCTTCAAGCCACACGACCACTCCTCAGGCTGCAGTGCCTGTGTTCTCCTCCACCACACGCCATTCTGCTTTCCTCTAGAAGGCTTCCCACAATGCCCCGGCACTTCCTTTTGCCACAGTAGTTTCACCACACATTGTTCAAGATCTGATCAGTATTAGAGAAATTAGAGTAAGAACAATCCACTTAAAATTCCATCTATCCCACCAGATTTGGCTTTAGTTCTTCCACCAGTAGTTTGAATCTTTGAGAGCTAAAGTATTATTAATATTTCATTGTTTGCTTTCCTGTTCAACTGAATTATGACATTCTTGGTGGAAAAAATCTACACTTCCTCATTCTTTTGTGTTCTTTCTCCTGCTGTTTCCCAGACCCCACTCCCATCAGCAGCATAGCACAATGCTGAGTGCCTATCAGGCCCCTCATAAACAGCCTCATAAGTGACTTAAACATTGCTGGTCCTGTATTTTTATTTCTGCCCATGTATATTTGAATATGGATATGTTTCTTTTTGTTGTTTGTTAAAAATGGCTACTGTGTCATCTCATTAGTGCATTTTTACAGTAGTTAGAAACATGGGCTTTAATATCATACTGCCTGGGTCTGGCCTCAAGTGCCAGTCCTAGGATGGGCTACTAAGACCTCAGGCCACTGCCTTTACTCACTCTGCCTTCTTCAGTCTCCAGTAAGTGTCCGCCTCCTGGGGTATTGTGAGGATTAGGTGAGCTTGTAACATGAGGTGTGGGGCCTGGATCTAAAGCCCAGGAGATGGTGCTAAGCACAATAAGCATTTAGCAAGCATTAGCTCTTTTATTATGTCTCAACACTTTTTAACACTGTGGGTGTCTTCGTTAAAGACCCCAAAGATACAGACTAGCCGATCTTCAAGAAATTTATTGTAGGCAGTGAAATCTGTTTAATGTTACAGTAAAATAGTTCCCTACATATTACTAATAGGTGACATCAGTTAATAGAATTTTAGAAAAATATTTGCAAGGCAACTTAGAGAAATGTACAGTGCAGCCAGGTCTAAGGGAGATGGGGGAGTAGTGTGTACACATTAAGGCCAGAGGTGAGGTTGTTACATAAGAATGCATTGACTCAACACTTTGGCTCTCAGTTTTCTGATAATCAAAGCATGGAGGAAAACAACCAATTAAAAGTTGAAAATATTTGCAAAGTATAATATATTCTGGTTGCTTGGAAGAAACAGCATTTTCTAGCACCAGAACCTGAAGCATGTTTCTCCCGTTGCCATTCTTAAATGGGAGTCAGACTGCAGTGTCATGATGCAGTGTCTGCAGTGAACGCAATGTTCAGCCAAAAGCGAGCCTTTGAGGGGCCCAAATGGGGGGGTGGGGAGGGTGTCTCCTGTCCTGATCCACAGAGAGTATCTAACCTATGGAAGAAAACATAGACTACATGATCTTTTGCAATCACATTTATCCTAAGAATTATGCTGCAGAAAATCTTGCATTTCTGTTAAGAACTTGAGGTGCACATGTCACTGATTGAAGGTGGATTCGGTTGCTTTTATCATCAGTTTAGTGGTTAAAGAGAAGGGAGGGTCAGCAGCCTTTTCTGAAAAGAGCAGTGTAACTCGCTTGCACACTAAGTAGATGGTCACCCATCTCTTCCTCGCATGTTAGCACTTCTTGGTTAGCCCTTGTTTGAGGCTTTGTGGGCTGTGGGGCCTCTGTCAAAACTATTTATAAAACTAAGGTTTGCCAATCCCTGCTCTATGTCACAAATGAGTGGCTAGTGAGGACCCATCATAAAGTGAATGCACATAGAACCTAGCAAGAGTGAAGCCCTGAGTTCAAACCCCAATGCTGCCAAAAAAAAAAGACTTTTAAAGTGAAGGCACAAATGGTTTTCTCACAGGCAAATGACACAACACCCACCACAACCATTGAAAAGCCTCAATAAAGCACCAGTATCAGACAGAGCCATACTACCTCTGCAAACTTTTGGAACATATTAAACCTATCCATAAACAAACAAACAAGAAAGAAGGAAAGTATGCAGCACACACAACCTTAAAACTGATCTAAGAGCTTAAAGGACAGCCGTGGCCCCGCATACCCACTGCTTTCATTCCTGCCTCCCTGCTTTAATGGCTGCTACCCCTTACCATTCCTGTGACATGTTCTTGTTAGTACCGCCACTTTGAAGATCAGATCTGGTGAACTCTCGTTGCCTCTCAGCTTTGCAGCATTGTTCATTCTCCAGGTCTTCTCTTCCCTCAGCCTGTACCCTTCCTTTTTTGTCTCCTGGGAGTATCTCCTCCTCCCTGTTTCTTAAGGAAATTGCTCTCCTCCTTCAGGTTGGAGCCTTAAATCTCACCTTCTCTACAACCTCTAGTTACTTACCATGGTGTTGTATTTCTCCTCTCTTAAGCTTGCTAATTATTCTCTGTCCTTGCTTGATAAATTGAAAGAACAAGTTAACTTTTCTCTTTGTAGTTGTGCTTTAGACAACTTGAGTCCTTGTTTATATAAATACGGATTTTCTAATCTAACACAAGGTATTGCGTGCTAATTCGACTGTTGGGAAATCGTGGGGGAAAGGGTGTTGTGTTTTGCAGATAGAGTTAGAGGTGATAGAGCGGACTTAATCAGAAGCGTCTCTGGGCCTGGCTGGATGGAGCCTGGAGGGATCAGACACCGAGGGCCTCTGTGGGCTTCAGAGGAAGCTGTGAAAACAGTGGCAGCAGGAGAACTTGGGTGCCCACTGGCCTTTGTGCATTAGGCATCTGTCCTCGAACTTTGTCGTGTTCTCTACCTGTCTTTTTCTTAAACAATCCTAATATATGTTTTCTTGTCTCTTAGTTTTTCAGTGAATATGAGAAGCTACTTCATTCAGAAAATTATGTGACAAAGAGACAGTCACTGAAGGTATGACTTGTGTCATTTATTTCTCTTCACTATATATTTGAAGTTTGGATTTGGGAAAGGGAGATATGCTGATATGGGTTGCAAACTTTTGGGGAGAAATACATTTGTCCACAGTCAGGATTTCTGTAGAAGGGAACAGGGTTTGACAGTGGTCTGTGTGTAGTTTTGGGCTGCAGCAACATATTTAAATGGTGGACCCAGAGACGGTATGGCCTGCAAAGATTCTTTACTGTGTGGCCCTTTGCAGAAAAAGTTTATTAACACTCAACACACACACATAGACACAGACACACACATACCACACCCCACACCACCCCACCCCTAGGAAATTCTTACCTTGTGTAATAAGAATTACATACCTACCATCATTACTCTGATTCTGTAAGTGGTCTTGATAGGACTTATAGATGGAATCACAAAGGATTTACAGAAAAAAATCATAATTCCATTTAAATGTTTTGTGAGATCCATTTTAAATTCTATTCCAACAAGAGTTCCTGCCATCTGAGGTGTCTGAATTCATATTGATCAAGACTCCATTCTTTCTGCCCCTTTCTGCTATGGGGAAATCTCTCTTAAAGACCTTATCTTCTGTGGAAGGAGAATGCTCTCTACCATGCAAATTTCTAGTGGAGTCCTTCCATCTGACCAGCCACAGGTCACTACTAACAGGCCTGCTTTCTATTCACTGCCATGTCAGGGACCTAACCTCCTAGCCATCCTCTCATCCAATGCTGGATCCATAACTTGCCCTAGTTCCCATCTCCACATTTTCTGACTAGATGGTTGTCTTTTGTTGCAATGACTGATAAGAACAGTCCTTTCTTCTTAGGGAACCTTGGAGAGTTCTGAAAGCTGTTGGAGACAGCTTCTCCCCCTTGCTACCTTATATGCTAGAGTAGAGGTTCCTGTGGCTTTTCTCCTCTGTGATCCTCAAAGGACCCACACACCTTGCTCTCTCCCTAGTGGTGACACACACGTGCACAGCTTAGGGAGCCAGGTGCCAGGCAGGATTGTCTAGGATTGTGGTTCCCAGGGCCAGTACCTCTTTTCAAGGGAGGGGTGAATTTATTAATAAACCAAAAACCTTTGACTAAATTTTGGATTCTTGGATGGCTTGGATAAAAAGAAATGCTTTTGAGACCCTTCTGCCATTCGGAATTCGCCAACATGAAAAGGATGCTCCAGACTGCCTTTGTAAGCCATTCATTCCTGTTGTCTGTCTTAGTGCTGCGCCACCTTGAATCCAACAGGGGCAGTTCTCAGCACCAACAAGATGAATTTTAATTTGTACCCTTTTCTTGCAGCCACATTGGCATTTATTTATTTTGCCAGCAAATTTATATTTACTGTATAAAACTTCAAATTTTTTGTTTTTGTGTCCAAAGAAATTTAGAGTTGCCAGTCATCTTTTCAGATTTTCTTTGGTGTCTATGACAGAAAATGAATTCTATGAAAGCTATAAATTTTCACACAATACCAACTTTTGAGTTTTCACAAGAACATTTACAGGGTGCTTCTCACCTTGAAATTTTATAACTGTCGTGACTCAGATTGATGTGAAGCCTATCTGAGCTTTTGAGTTCTTCATATAAATTCTTTCTAAATTCTAAGTAGAATAAATTTGTTTTCTTACACAACAGCATTTTTTTTATTTATCTGGAAATGTCTTATAGCTAGACTATAGCCAGAAACCAGAAAAGAAGCAACAGAAAGCATTACATACCATTGAGGCACAGTGGCTCTGTGTGTGCATTTCCTTCCCTTGGACCTCACCCCACATCTCTGAAGGCTCAGGTCCATTGTGTGCTCTTGACTCTTGTAATGCCTCATAAGATGCAGACCATACTTCCCATCCCATTTGTTCACTTGATGAAGCTAAAGCACAGAGAAGTTAAGGAACTTGCTTAAGGTTGCAAGTCCACAAGATGGTGGCTTGATGCCTATTCCCCACAGGGTGCACAGCCTGCACACTGGAGGAAAATGTAGAAAAAGTACTGGTAACTTCACCATTATGGGATTGTGTGGTATAATCAGCTCTACACAAATCAGTAAGTCCTGAAGTAAACACAGATGTTTTTAGCTTCTTGATGTCATTGGTGATAATGAGGATTGTCTTCTGGATACTTTTCTGAAGAAGGAACAGAAGAATACTCACTTTTGTAGTAAGCCTTTTCTTGTCACTTTGGTGAAGCTTATGGGAATCTTTAGACACAAAACCTTCTTCCTGGAAAAAAAATTTTTTTTAATTAAACTAAGACTTGTTAACAGGAATTACCAGTAGCTTTTCTTCTGACCATTTTCTTAGGTATTTTTTGTTGTTTTGAAAGTCTCTCTTAAGTTCCCCAGGCTGGCCTTGAACTCAAGATCCTCCTGCCTCAGCCTCCCAACTAGGTGGGATTACAGGCACACAGTACCACATCCAACTTTGTACTTTCTTTTCTTTTCTTCTTTTTTTTTTCTAGTTTTTATTTTAGTAGTATTGGGTCTTGAACTCAGGGCCTCAAGCTTGCTAGGCAGGTGCTCTACCACTTGAGCCACTGCAGCCTTTTTTGTGTGTGTGTTGGGTACTTTTGAGATAGGGTCTTAAAAACTATTTGCTCAAGCTGAAGGGCAGAGATGTGCACTGACAGCGATCCTCCTGATCCCTGCCTCCTGTGTAGCTAGGATTACAGGCCTGAGCCACTGGCACCCAGCCTGTGGTTTCTTTTCAGTGCGTTAACACAAACATTTAAAGAGTAGATTCTGACAGATCCTGGGCCAGGTGTGTCTTATGCTCTCAGCAGCATCATACTGGCCACTATCTTTTTTTAATTATTATTGTTTATTCATTTATTCCAGGCAGAACCTGCTCTGCCCTTTTCTCCGATTTTGTTGAAAACAAGCAATAATAAGAAAGACATGGCATTTTTCTAGCTTGAGATAAAGATGGGTATACAGAGAGATTCCTAGCATTGCTTCCACGTACAAGTGTGTTACAACCCAAATTGGTTCATCTCTACCCAGACCTCTTCACTACTTCCTGGTCACCTTCCCATCTGGCCACTATCTTGATGCGTGACACATGTGGGTGGTTGAGAGAGAGGCAGAGGGGAGATGGCACTTCACTGCTGTACTTCAGTCAATTCATCTGGTTTTTGAGTGCCTGCTAATATTCTGTGCTTGAAAATGATGATTCTGTGCTTGAAAATGATTATGCAAAATGAATTATTTTTTAAACTTCAGATTTGCTTTAAATCTTAATAACAGTATAAGAGCAAATGTTTAATTGTCTTCTCAGCTTCTCGGTGAACTACTGTTAGATAGACACAACTTCACAATTATGACAAAATACATCAGTAAACCTGAGAACCTCAAATTAATGATGAATCTTCTACGAGACAAAAGTCGCAACATCCAATTTGAAGCCTTTCACGTTTTCAAGGTAGAGTTATGCAAGCCATAAACAGTATTTTCCTTCAGAATTATTCTCATTTTGTTAGCCTCATTTTGGAAATCTAAATGATCCAATTCAGTCAAGTTTTCATTTTTGTGAGGAACAGTCAAGCAGAAAAACCTGAAAACAAGACGTACAGTTTGGGAACAAAGAAAGTGTAGGTATGAAGGAGTACCATTTATCTTTCAGTGTAGATTATTCATTGCAGAATAAAAGTATTTGTTTTGTTTTTGAGACAGGGTCTCTCACTACATAGCCCCAGGCTGATTGCAAACTCAGGATCCTCCTGCCATAGCCTGCTGAGGGCTGGGATTGCCGGGTTGTGCCACCACACCCTGCTAAAAGCATGTCTTAGTGTTTTCCATGGAGGATTAGAGTCTTAAAATCTAATTTGACCTCCTGTGCCCACAAATAATTTTTGCTCATTTTATTCTAAAACCAAAGTTTATAATTAGTACTAACTGCTGTGTTTCTGGGATGGCAGAATGAACTTGGCTAAAAGACGGAGTTATTATTTCTCCATATAGTGTGAAATAAGCTCTACTAAAGCAAAAACCGATTGCCCTGACTGTACCTCCTGCCCTGGGAGTGCAGTGGGTGGGTGTCGTGTTCTTTCTTTGACTGACATGAGTTCCTTTTGGGCAGGTGTTCGTGGCCAATCCCAACAAGACACAACCTATCCTGGACATCCTCCTCAAGAACCAGACCAAACTCATCGAGTTCCTCAGCAAGTTCCAGAACGACAGGACCGAGGACGAGCAGTTCAATGACGAGAAGACCTATTTAGTTAAACAGATCCGGGATTTGAAGAGGCCAGCTCAGCAAGAAGCCTAATTCCAATAAACACCTACAATACTAAATCCAAAGTCAGCATCTGCTGTTAGCTATTCAGCATCAGGCACTCTTATCAATTCCCGAGGAACATTACTGCTAATCTGCTGTTAAGTGAACGGTTTTTCATTTTACCTTTTTGTTTTTCAGTCCAGGTTGGAGAGCATAGTGGCTGCTGCTTGCGTACTAGAGCGCACGTGGCTTTTCCTTGATTTTTGCGTCATTTCAGAATTCAGAGACTGTTTGCTACAGGAATTCTGAACATGACTGGGTTCACAAAGGCAAATGTATGGATGAGAGTGGTGTAGGGGAGAGAGCGTCGATGTCATCAAGCTAATCCCACGCATTTTTGTTCCCTGTGATGGAGATCTGCATGCAGTGTGGCCTGCGCACACCTGGAACCCTGTGTCGATCATCTGCCCTCGCTGAGGAAGCTGGCACGTGCAGCGCCTTTAAAATCAGAGGTCGGAGGGGAGTGGTAGCCGTGATGTGGGCTTTGGGGACAGAGAAAGTTGACATACAAACAAATCTATACTGAAACAGCAACTTCTGGAAAGTGAAGCTTCATAAGGCTGGAAGGAAGATGTACATATGCTTTTCACAGCTTTCTAGAGCTTTTTGACATTTGATTTTTTTGAGACTTACGAACCTGGATACCTTGAAGGGTGTTTGTTAATTTTACTTTTTGAAGGTATTTTAAGACAGTAGAGCTAGCAACGGCACCTTGCATTTCATTTCAGCACTGCTTACAGGTGTCTTTTGTATATAATTCTTAGAATGGTCATTTCTTTTAAATGGTTTAATTTGTACAGCAGAGGAATGTTATTGCAGTAGTATGTAACTATTACCTAATACTGAGTTTTTGCAAAAAAAAAAAAATGAATGCTCATCTGTAATTGAAATACTTCAGATCACATGAAAATGCTGATCTAACATTTAAGGATCACAGCATTAAAAGAAAAAATAAACCAATCCTTTGTGTTTAGTTACCTACTGGGGTGCCATTGTAGGCGGAACTACAGAACTGGAACTCAGTCCGCTTCACTTTCCTGCATAATATCGGCCTTATTCATTTAAGATAAGTCATAAGTTTGCCAGATTTATGAATGATACTGATTATGCTAAATTAATGCTGATTCTTTGTGTGTGCGGGGGACCTCTGTAGAACACCCTTTCTTTCTTAGAATACGTAATCCAGTACAATAGTTGTGAAACTGAGTAATTAAAACTTCAGCTTCTCTTAGGAAAAGAAGAGTCCCTAGTCATAGGTGTCCTAGGGGAAATGTATTTTTTTTAATATCCTGTTCCTTAATGCTGCAAATTATCAGTATTTATAAAGTAACTGATTTTGCACCACTTTTTTGTGACTGTGACCACAGCAGAACAATGTCTCCTAGACTGTATCTTCGTAAAGTTACTAGAATGGTGTCTTTCATCTCAGTGATACACAGATCGCAGCTAACAACTCACCAATCGGAGTTTGCCAGTTCAAGTCAGCATGGCTATAGCTGATTAAAGGATTTATGATCATTATTCTTGGCTAGCCTCTCTTACTAATTGAATTATTTATCAGCCAGTAAAATAAGCCTCCTGATTGATGTTTTAGCAGATTTTAAGGTTTCCTTCAAGGAACATGAGTTTAAAAAAAAAAACTCCAGAAAACCTGTCTGTATTTTAATTTAAATATGTTTAATTTAATTTAAGTGACAGTCTACAATAATTGGTTCTCCTGGGACTGTCTTTATAAGAATGTATATGAAATAATTTGTGTTCTCTACTGGAAGTAGAGAAAGCACTCTGATCTCAGAAAGAAAATATCTCTGCTGTGTGGGAAGGCAGGCTCGGCTGTGATGAGCATCCTGGTTCTGGTGGTCTAGTGCTGTGGGTCTGGATTGGTGTAAAACCAGTCATTACACCAAGTGGAAGAAATGCTTCCTCGTCAACTAGTTCTTAGAACTTTAAACAACAAAACACTTCCACCTTGGCAATTACCAGGTAGCACTATAGCCTTTTATGTGGAAGACAGTGGGGTGCAGCATGTCAGAGCAGATGTTTGTGTTACTAGTGTATAGGAAGCTGAAGATAGGTAACACTTTCTGGGTTTTGATTTTGAACAGCACAATGTGAAAACATTCAAAGTTGCAGAATTGCATTTGACATTGCGATCATTCAGTGCAGTCATATTACCAAAACTATTATACTGGAGGTGGTTTCTTTTTGTGTTACAAAGGTTTAATTCTACTTAAATGTGATTTTTTTTTTTAACCCTTCAAAAAAAGTAGAGATGTATACAGTTGTTAACAATGCCATGGAAGCATTTCCTTTCACCTGAGGAAAACTGAATTTCTTATCAGAATATCTGGCTGGCCCTGTAATTTAAATTAAAATAAAATTTTGGAGAAACAGCATTGTCTGTCTTCTTGATGTCGTTTGGATTTTTTCCACAAACTGAGTGGGAAACACACTCCTCTTTTTCCCTGTTCAAGATTTTATACATTAAAAATGCAGTTCTCACTTCCCCCTCCGCCCACCCCGCCATGGTGTGCATTGTGGCATAATCTGGTTTCTGTCGTGTCACTTTCCCTTGTTCCTCAGTGCCATCCCACCTTACGCTAGCACCATTGTTTTAGACCCTAACCTCTGGGGAGTAGATCTGCTCTTTGGTTCTGCCATCCCTATATCATTAGCACTCCACAGCGAGGCTGACTGCTTATTAGAAAGATTTACATGTTGCTAGAGTGAACTGAGAGCGAGGTGAGAACTGAGGGTGCTGGGCGCCAAGTGTCATCTGAGAGCTGCCTGGTCTATGATCTTCCTTCCTGTGCACAACCCTGCTCTCAACTTTTAGCCCTGATCAGTAAGTGAGCTCGCCATTCTCTGGCAGTGCAGGAGGCATGCTCTTTGCCAGAAACCTTCCTCTGAATGACAGCATCTTACTCCCATTTCTGCAGAGTAATTCATCTGCTGTGTGTTGTAGATCCCTAAAAAACAGGGTCCCACTGAGTCATAATGACTCTGTGATTCCAAGGGTGACCATACCCACTGAAGGCTTGAGTCACACTTCAGCTCAAATTGCACTTCCACAGTCACCAAATGCCCTCCTCTTACAACAAGACCCCCAGACCATTAGCTTCAGCTCGCTCAAGGTTGTATGATTCGTACCTTGCCATCTAGCTTACAAGGACCGGAAGAAATCCCACAAAGCGGTCCTTTAGAGGAAGAGGACAGCCCGGATGCACTGCCTTTTGGGTTGCTCCTGCATTTGCAGGTAGACGTGCTCTCTATGACCATTTAATTTCCAGAAAGTGAGAAGGACAAGGTAAGATTCTTCCCACAAGGCATTTCTCGAAAGCCCGTGGCTCCCCAAACCAACCTTGCAGAAAGACCTTGGGAGCAGTCTGTCCTGCTGCTTTCTGCCACAAGCCACCCTCAGTTTCCACCTGCTGACCGTTCACTTCCAGTCCACCCAATACCTCCACCAAACACTTCCATCCCAAGAAAGTCTTACGAAGGATGGGAAGCTTTGGAGCCTCCGGGGAGCCAGCCTGCCAGCATTCCCTCCACCTAGTGGTGGTTGCACAAGGCTGTATGACTTCACCGTGTGCCTGATCTTCATGTGTGTGTCTGCAGTGACCTCTGACGTCTTAGAATGGCTGGTGGCGTCCACACTTGGCCTGGAAGGAGGAGCAGGAGGAGCATGTTGCTCCTCCACCTTCATCCCATCCCCACACAAGCATGTCCCTGGGGAGGTAAATCCAAGGATGGTCCACCAGGTTTCCATGCAATTTGCTACAAAGCTTTGTTGGCTTTGCAGTACTCAGGATTGAACAAAGGGCCTCAGACCACTTGAACCACACTCCCAGTCCATGTCCACTTATTTTTTCTGCACTCTGAGTAGTACATTTTTCTGTGTAGCACTTCAGCAAGACGACCAAAGGTTTCTAGGGAAGATAAGTATTCTCTACGTTTTCCACAAGGTTGACAGGTCTCACAGGTGAGTTTTAGCAGAACTCCTGTTACTGGGTAATGAATGTTTATCACCTAGATCTTAGTGCTCCGCGGAAAGAACTCAGGCTGGCTCTAGGTTCCAGTAGCTGCAGAGGTGGACAGTGGCCTCAGGAGGACAGGCAGGCCAGCTGGCATGGCTGCAGCTTGGGGAAGCTTCCAGACACTGCGTCCCAGCTGGCTCCCACTCTCCCGGTCAGGTTACAGCTTGAAGGCACACGGTCCCCTGGAGCCCTCGGTGTCCCTTTCTTCTCCCCAGTAATGCTGCTGCACACACATTCCCCTCTGCACCGTGAACCCTTGCACTCTGTTGTCTGACAAAGTCCTCACCCGTGTGGAGAAAATGTGAGCATCAGGCCCCTCCCAAAACTCTGGGCTCCTTGGAGTTGTGGCAGGTGGGTAGGATTGGATACTGACCTATGTCACCCAAACACTGACAGGACCTGCGGTGCCCACACCATCCCTCACCACCTCTTACGCTTATTGCAAATGCCTGTGCCTACCTCAGCACCTCCTCTGGAGCCAAGTGCGGGAGTTGACTGTCCTTAGAAGCAGCCTTCAGGACTATGGTGACAAATTAAGACCCAGTGCTCTGGCCCCTGCTGGGACCGGGCCCACCACATCAGCCAGCTCACACAGGCTCTTCTCGGATTCTGTCCCTTCCCCAGCTCAAGTCCCACTTTGAACCAGTGTTTCCTGGCATGAAGGACCAAATAACTTGGTGGAAGCTTGTTCCAGGGTCAACTTCTGGGAAAATCTGAACTAAGGCCTCCGTTTGTTCTGCTAAATCACACCCAAGGTCACAGAGTGAGAGGCCTCCCTCTTAGAAGAGGGTCAACCAGAGACCATGGGGCAGCAAAGCAGTGCCGCCTGCCCTACCAGTCTCCTTTCTCTTCCTCTCATGACAGTATTTAGGAAAGACCCTGGCCTCTGTGTGTGCGTCAAAGCCTTGCCACCAGGTGGCATGGCTCCTGACCACGCTTCTGCACCAAGGAGCTTCCCCAGGCCTCCACCCTGGGGCACAGGCAACTGGAGCCACCAGACACTTCCCTTTCAAAAGCAGCTGGGTGGTACACACCCAGGACTCCCTAATTGTTCTTCATAGCCATCAACATGCTGACAAAACCAGAAGAGCCCCTGTTCTCTCTTGCTCTGCCCCCTTTCGAAAAGGACTTCTTTGAAAGGTACAGGATAGTCCTACAAAACATGCAATTGGGGATCAGGGTGAGAGTAAGGAAATGTCCGGTGGGGGTAGGGATTTGGATGGGGTCGTGGAGAAGAGATGGGGCCTGAGCCTACTCATACCACACAGCTCACCTGCCTGTGGTCACGGCACAGGCTCAGCTTCTGTCCTCAACCCAGTTGCCAATTTTACCAGCCCACTGGGGGGCAGTGGAGAGCCTTGAGTGTCGGGCAACAGCCCAGCCAGTGGATGGTGCCTTCTCTGGGCACACCTGGCCTGTTCAATCCGAAGGCACCAGGAGACCCCGGGGGGAGCCTTGGGTTTGCTGCTCAGAAGCTTCCCGGACACCACTGTCAGCCAAAAGAAGGGAGCAGTCACAAAGGCTTTAGGGACAGAGAGGGACGGGTGAGTGAGACTAAAACATGGAGTAGAATTTAGGTGGTGGGTATGTGGTTATTTTGTTTTTTTAAACAAAAAGAAACCTATTTTTAGAAGAGTTTTAGATGACCTGGAAAAAGTTAGAGAGGGGGTTGAGAGTGACCCCACAGACCCCATGCCTGTCCCCCTGCTATTAACATGTCACACTTGTTAGACTTGGACAGGCGCCATTGAAGTCCATACCCTATTCAGATCGGCTTTTCCCTGAGACCATGTCACAGTGGGCCGTGTCTCCAGAGGCTCTGGCACAGCTGGGAGTTTCTCACACTTTTCTTTTTTTCATTTTTCTTTTATTATTCATATGTGCATACAAGGCTTGGGTCATTTCTCCCCCCTG